AGGTCCAGGGCGGTCCTCCCGGTGGTCGCCAGTCAGGTGGGGACGGAGGGAGTCGCCGGCGGCGTGCTTCGCGGCGGCCGGTGGCTTCGGAAGTTTTGGGCGTTTGAACTACAGTGGCTCCCGGTCGTGTTTGAGCAGCTGGGTGGCTCCGCAAGACGAAGGGGAGTCGGGTGGTAGTGTTGGATGGGCGGGGAAGGTCCTGGTTGCGACGAAACGGACCGGAGGGCGGCGGTGGCCGAGCTGGTCGGAGACGGGGAAGACGGACTCTCCTGGTCGATTGCGAGCTAGGGGAGCGTTAGTGGGGTGGCTTGAGGCTGCTTGCCGTCTAGGAGGAGCTTGGGGTCACCCTTTTATAGCGTAGCTAGGTCGGTTCCGCCATCACCGAGGATAGGATCGCCGGCCGACCGTTTCTGCTGCGGTAGGGCGCCATGGCACCGACGAGCGCTTGCGGACGAGCGAGGGGATAAGCGCGGACTGCTCCAGGGGTAGCTGGCGTGCTGTTGCGGCTCGGGCTGCGCCGACCGTGGCAGGAGCTCACTACGGACGCCGGCGTGCCGCCAAGTGGCTCTGACGGCGGTGCTGCAGGGCACCAGGGGCCACTTGGCGTGTTCTGGTGAGCGGTCGAGGGCGAGGCACGGCTCTGCAGGGCGAGCAAAAGTCAGGGGCGCGACGTGGCGGCTCGGTGCACGCGCGTGCAAAACATGCGCTCTGGGCGCGCCCAGAGCACGCACGCGACATGTTCGACCGAATGCCAAGGTGGTCTAGAGCGCTCGGGAGAGGCTGGCAACTAACAGGACTAGGCTAAGGTTTGCAAGAAAGCTAATGGACAAGGGGGTTAGGCCAGGAGACCAAGCTTGCAATGCTAACTAAAAACCATGCCAAAACTGGCCATGCACACAAGGTGTTTGGCAAAATGCCAAAGGCACCTAGGCATTTCTTGGAGTGGTCATAATCTCCACATTGGGGTTAGTTCTAGGTGATGGTGGCCAGGTTAGTTTGCCAAGGGAAGAAACTTGTTAGTGCAAATATTTGAGAAACTCAGTTTTGGGCAGAAACTAAAGGTTGTCATTTCATGGACCAAAACTATTCCAATGGGTTCATGCTCTTGGACTTAAGGGTTTTGTAAGAAGGACTACAAGTAGGAAAAAGAACCATGGGTAAAAGAGCAAGCACAAATATGGTTGCATTACAAATCCTCAAGTTGGGTCAGAATGAAAAAGATGTTGATTCACTCAAAAATTTCAAAGGACATAACTGGGTTTTTGCATAAATATGGATAATATACTCCTACTGACCACCCCTAATTTTGGTGGAAGTTTTAAAAAAATATTTAAATAGGCTGTAGTGCAAAATTGCTCACTGGACCAGATTTGAAAATTAGGTGTAGAGCTCAAAATCTCCAATGAACAGAAGATGTTTTTGCATAAAAGTGTTTTAGGGACATCATATGTCATCCCCAAATTTTGGTGAAAATTTTAGATGCATTTATCAAATGGTTGTAGTATAAAATAGGCTCCAAAACTTATGAAAACTCATTTTAAAAGAATAAAGCTCGGGAAATGAATTATGCAAATAAGACCATTGATTAAGAATTGTTTTGTTGAGACGGTATAGAAGCCCAATAACATTCTTGGAAAGTTTCCACTTGGGATAAAACTCAATATTATAGAGAGGTGGTTCTGAAATCAACAGAAAATCCATAAAGCAAAAAACTTTAAACTCCTGGCAAAGTTTTAATAATTCAAAACATGGTTAAATTTTTGGGGCGTTACATCCTCGCAGTTGAGTTCAGCCCCAGGACAGTATACGGTTCTGTCTACCAAGCGCTGGACATGTTTGCTTGCACCGAAATAAGCTGACAATACAAATTAGTTGTCAACTATTTTTGAATAAACAATATCAAAGACATAAATATGATTGAGAAAATTACATAATGGTATAATTGGAGGCGTCTGCACATCGACCCATATGTCGGTATTACCGTCAATATCATCTTCTAGACGAATATCAAAGGTGATAACCATATCAGGCTCAAATGCATAAGTCTTGCATAGTGCTCGCCATGTTTTGCATCCAAAATAGGTGTAGTCGTCTGAATTGTATAATTTTGCATGGAAAATATAACCATGCTCGGTCTTCAAGTAAACTTTCTTTTCCTCCCTAGTATAACTGAGACCTATCTTATCCAGTACAAAAACTCTTGCATGGCAGGGGATACGCTAGTAGAATAGTAAAAAAAATATTAGTTGAAGCAAATGAAGTAGATGTCATGCTTAATTACCAAAAAAGACTTGTTGTTGTGACTTACTGTATCCACTTCGAAGTTCTCGTCCAGCTTGATGCTGAAGCGCCTATCATCATCTAGGAAGATTCTGCCGCACAGGCCGCGCTCGTCTTCGCAGTATTTGCAAATACCGAAATCCTTTTCGTCGTCAGACATTTCCTATGTTCATAGTTAAAACATTAATTGAAAATCGATCGAAGACAACTACCAGGATACTCAACACACAAATCCGAGGCACTCGATATTTCCTACATATTGGCACAAGTCATGCCAAAATTCATGGAAAAATCCGGCATGACGTTTGCTAAAATAGGACATATCGAGCGCCTGAAATTTGCCGGAACGGAAATGAACCAACACTCCGGCAAAACATAGGCCACTCGGAGGTGTAACCTGCAAACATGACCGACCACTTGGATATTGAGCAACACAAGATATACATTTCAAAATATCTTATAGGACTCAAATTAGCATGCATTCAATAAGCAAAAGTAAATCATCTCATGTATCCGTACATCGTCGAATATTATCACTAATACATCATGAATAGTGTCATACATATAACATCACTAATACAACTAAAACCCTAGAACACGACGGGTATCGGCGCGGGCGGTGGACACCCACAGAGAAGGAACCATCACGGGATCATAGCTCCAGTAAGATCCCTGGAGAACCTGCCAGGTATTGGAGAACGACCTGTGCTCCAACGCAAACAAGTAGCGATGGACGTGCGCGTCCTCCTCACTGACACGGTGACGCACCACCTCCGCGGAGTCCTTGAGCCTCTGGACCGTCACTGGCCCACGCGACCGCCACCAAAGAAGGTTCGGGTCAACGACAGGCTGGATCCTCACCAACCTGCGCCCCCCGGTAGGTAGCGCCTCCCAGTACCACCCCGGTGGAGCCCAGTCCCGGACATGGCCGATCTGGTCAAGCAGGTGTCGTCCTCCGCCGACTCGACGACGAGGATGCGGGATAGGCATCGTCCACGTCGAGGCGGGAAAAATTGCTTTAACTAAAAAATAGCAACAAGTTCTTACTAACTAGTTCTATTAATTCAACTAGTTCTTACTAAAAATAAACTTACTATAAATAAAAATATTCTAGTACCTAATTAGTACCTAGTTCTTACTAACTACTCTCTCCGTTCCGATTTACTCGTCGTGGTTTTAGTTCAAATTTGAACTAAAACCATGACGAGTAAATCGAAACGGAGGGAGTAATTAGTACCTAGGAACTACTGCCCTAATTACCATATAAGTATCCATTTTTAACTAGGGTTCGTACTACCTAATTAAATAGGGTTAATACTAATTGTAATTAACTAACTAGCACTAAAAATAGCCTAGGGTTCATACTAACTAGCACTAAATAGCTAGGGTTCATACTAAGCAAACAAGAGGGATAGGAAGGGGAGAGTGCTTACAAAGGGCGGGGAGAGAGACGGGGTCCGGGGAGACGGCGCCACCTAGGCGCGGAGAGGCGGGGTCGGGGGAGACGGCGGCGAGGCGGGATCGGGGAAGACGGCGGCGAGACGGGTCGAGGGAGACGGCGGCGAGGCGGGGTCGGGGGAGACGGCGGCGAGGCGGGGTCGGGGGAGACGGTGGCGAGGCGGGGTCGGGGGAGACGGCGGCGAGACGGCGGCGAGGCGGAGGCGACGAGGGGAAGAAGAGAGAGTGGGGAATTGAGGGAGGAGGCAGATCATGAGAGGGAATCAGGCCGCGTGGGGGGTAGGTGAAAATAGCTATAACAGTAGCGTGGGGTCTCAAAACGCGCTGCTGCTAAAATCCGTAGTAGTAGCGCTGTTTCTACAAAGGCGCTACTACTATACCTAGCACGTCGGGAACGGTGTGGCAATTATAGTAGTAGCGCGTTCTGCCCCTGCCGCGCTACTGCTAAGCGTGTAATAGTAGCGCCGTTTTACCAGACGCGCTACTGCTAAGTAGCAGTAGCGCCTCATTTTAACAAACGTTACTGGTAAAATTCTGTGTATAAGGTTTTCCCTAGTAGTACATGTTTATGAAACACATGGACCCAGTACTTATCAAACAAAAGCCCGCAAGCTGCCCCCAAATATGACGACTCTTTCATGGTCCAGTTGGTATAACTGCCCGCGGCCTGCAGAGCCTTGTCGACATATGGCGCAAGAAGAGATTAAAGCCCTGTTTAGTTCATAAGTTCTAAGACTTTTTTTAGTCCCAACTTATAAGTTATAAGTCCCTAAAAAGTCCCTACCTGTTTGGTTCCTGGGACTTAATATGGACTAAAAGACCATATTATAACTATAAGTCCCTATAAGACTCTCTTTGAGAGTCTTATTTTATAAGTTTAAATGCCTAATTTAAGTCCTTATAAGTCTCTTCTGTTTGGTTTAGATGGGACTTAAAAAAACTCTTTTAAGTCCCTACACCAATAAATCCCTGTAACCAAACACCCTCTAAATCTACTCTGTTCTTCCTCTGTTCCATCCATCCGGCCGGCCAATTTTCTACGAACCCTAATAAACTAATCAACGAGTTGATTGACCCCTTCGTTTATCACCTCGCAACAACCAACATCGCACGTCCACAAGCAGATTAAAAATGGCTTCGTTTACCACCTCGCTAATCACACTCCTCTCCCTCTCGTCTCGGCTCCCCCATATAATCCCAACCCCGTCCTTCTCATCTCATCAGAATCTAGAGTCCAGACGCGAGAACTCACACCGACGGACATGGGGAACTGCCAGGCGGCGGACGCGGCGGCCGTGGTGATCCAGCACCCGGGCGACGGCAAGGTGGAGCGCCTCCACTGGCCGGCCACCGCGGCGGACGTCATGCGCAGGAACCCCGGCCACTACGTCGCCCTCGTCGTCCTCCATCACGTCTCTGGCGGCGGCGTTGACCCCGACCCCGCCGTCGCCGGAGAAGGAGCAGGCGCCAGGATAACCAAGGTGAAGCTTCTCAAGCCGAGGGACACGCTCCACCTCGGCCAGGTCTATCGCCTCATCACCTCCCAAGGTCCGCCAGTGCCTGAGATTCCGAATCCGCCATTGGAATGGATCCCTTTCGCTTCTTGTTCGGTCCCCTCTCTTACACGCAGAGATTAACCAATCGATCAATGTGTGCGTGTGCAGAGGTGACCAAGGCCGTGCAGACGAGGAGGCAGGAGAGGACGCGCGGCTTCGACGAGGCGACCGAGCAGGAGCGGCCGCGGCTGCACCGGCGGCGGCAACCGCCGAGGCCGAGGAGCGACAACGCAGCCACGGAAACCAACGGAGAACAGAGGCAGCCCGCCGATCATCAGGAACGGAAGCGGCTGGAGAAGGACCGGCACCACCGGAGCATCGCGGCCGCCCGCGGCAGAGGCCGCCACTGGCGGCCGGCGCTGCAGAGCATCATAGAGTCGTCGTCGTCGTCGGGCGGACACGCCGACTGCGAGGATATACTATCTAAATGAACCAGAAATGGTAGGAGGAGCTAGGAATGTGTACATTTCGCGAGAGGAGCAGCAAGGCGTCGTCGCCAGAGAGTTGCCCTTTTGTTGCAGCCATGGAACAGTGATCTGAACGTGCGTGAAAATCTGAAAATACATCCGCCGGCCTCTCCTGCTTTCTGAATCTGGTCTGGTGATGCAGCACCATGCATTACTCGTGCCGCCGCCGAATCGCCAAGTGTGCTGGCTAGTTGCTGTTGAGACGAGATCCAACGGTTTATACACGTCGCGCACCATCCGGCACGCGCTATTCGTGGTCACGCGAGGCCGGATGTATGCTCATTGTGTTACCTTGCTGCTAGATTACGAGTTCTCAGTTTCAAAAATGTACGTGTGCTCATAGATTAGTACTCCACATTGATGCAGAAATGTCATTACATTGATGCAGGACCAGGTCCGATACTGAACCCCGCGGTACACCAACCTAAGTTTCATTTTTCAGTTCAGACGATTTCAAAAGTGGTAGGCACGTTCCTCTCTAAGATGAATGGTCAGAGAGACCGCCTCAGAATTCGCTTTCCCCAGCAAATTTATTCCAGAAATTGTACTTATGAAACTTGTACTGGAGTACTACTACTAGCTCCATAATGTTGAATAGTACTACTCCTAGCGATCAAGTCTCCATTCAACAACTGCGAGCTGATGGGCACGCCGCTAGCGATTTGATTATTCGTTCCATTTCTTTTGGGAAGACGCAACCCCATGCTTTGACTACCTGCTCCGTTTTTTAAGCAGGGGTATATGATGATGAGTACGTTGACATGAGCTGAACCGGATGGGTCACCTTGACAGAGACGCTACAAAATTTGAAACATGGCGCCGTTTCATCCTTCATTTGGGCAAATGCAAAATTCAACGCTTATGCCCACCAAATTCTGCTGTCTAACCAGTAAAACTCTCATGCCTTCCTCTTTCATCCATGTACGTGACAAAAAGAAAAAAGTGCACATTCCTATTTGAATTGATGGTATGCATTGTGCGTATATCACATGTTTGCTAATAAAAATAATATGTATAAACAGATCATTTGCAAAGTGGGTGTTAGGACGAAAGACAAGAGGATGCATAACATTACATATTGATAAGACATATAATTGCTTGTGTTGCAAAGGGATATAAATTTTCTAGTACGGTAGCCCCTCATTTATCTGTCCATATTAATATGATAGTATAAAAAATGATTTTATTTGCTATATACTTATATTTGGTAAGCAACTTATTGCCTTATCAACAGAACATAATATTATTTGGTAAGTCAATAAGGGGAGAATTGACGATAACCCCCCCCCCCCTGTTGGTCTGCCTCTCGATCATAAGCCCCTACACAC